CAGATGCGGTCTGGTCATGCCTTCCTTCAAAAAATCCACTTGGCGCTGGGTGGCACCGACCCATGATCATGCTTGTTTGAAGGCGTGGTGGCTAAAGTAGGGGAATAAGTAGGGGAATAAGGCCATGGTCCTAAGCATTCTTTCTTCGTGTTTTGCATTCCCGATATTCTTTCCACCTCTTACTTTGTTAACCTGGTCTATTGCTCGGTAACTTACCTGCCTGTATAAACCAGTCCCCTTTCTGTCCATTTCATGCGTCAGAAGCAGGCTTTTGTCTACCAAACCTCATGATGTAATAAAGTCATGAACTTGCTTGAGCGAAGCCAATGGGACATCAGTACTTGCATCACAGGCCTTATTGTGGTCTTCTGGTCACTCAAGACGAGTCAATGCCATGGCTCTGGAATATGCTAAAAGGATCCGTTGCTCCTCTCTACACATTCCACAAAACGCAGGGGCTGTCATGCACACCCTTCTCTCTGTTGTTAAAGTTTTGGCCTGATGGTTCTCTCTCTCCCAATTGTGCCTCGCAAACCTCGTCACGTTCCTTCAAGCCATGTAAACCAACATGGGCTTCAAGAGTCAGAGGCGCTGACCAGAAGGGCCTTGCTCGTTTCCTTTCTTTCTGGGCACAAAAGACCCCCACGCTTGCTTGGCTTCGCTGTTCATTTAGAACAAACAACTGGAGCCAAAGCAACCAGATGAGACTGACATCTGTCTCTTTAACTCTTGCCAAGTCACTGCTGTTCCATGGCTGGCAGGGAAGGAGAGGGGCTGCAAACGCCAAGTTCTCTTGGAAAGGCACGGTGCATTCCTTGTTACTCTCCCTCCCTCCATCTCCCTCGCCTGCCTCTTCCCTCTCTCGCATCTGGTACCTCTGCTGTGGCTGGAAAGAGAGCAATAGGATGGAAGTCGGGGAGGAGATCAACGCTAACAGGGGGACAGAGCCTGTAGTTTATAAGACCACACCCTGTTTAAAAGGCAGAGAGAGGGGCCCTGCCATACATTTAAAGCACTCACATACACTTTAACAGCTCCCCGCCCCCAAAGAAATCCTGGGAAACATGGTTTGTTAAGGGTGAATGAAGCTGTAGCTTTGTGAGAGGTCTCCTCTAAACCTCTCAGCACCCTTTATCAAATTATAAGTCCCGGGATTTGCCGGGGGACACCGTGCCTGTTAAAGTGGTAGGGTGGGAATGTGGCGTGGGAGGTGCTAGCCCTCCAGAAGAGATACAGCTACCAAGGTGAGAAGAGCAATAGCTGCAAGGACTAACACACAGTAAAACAGAAGAAGGTTTTCAAGAAGTGTACGATCCTGGAACCGTTCCTTCCTCGGAGCACAGCACCCCCTGCAAAATCTCCAGCATTTTGCGGACAAAAATAGGACCGCTCTTGCCCAGGCGTAATACCTGGGAGAGTCCCAGTCAGTCAGTGTAGACCCGTCTTAACCGAACAGGTGCCCTCCAGATAGATTGGTCTCTAGCTCCCTCCCTCCCTGACTATTGGCTGTGCCAGTTAGGGAAGCTGTAGTCCCCAAACAACTAGGTTGAAGAAGGCTGCTGAAGGCAATACCGAGTCAGCTGGGCTCTTGGTCTGACATAGACAAGGCAGTTTCCTGCCTTCCTAACACCTAATATTCCTAAGCATATGTGCTTTTTATGCCATTTCAAAGAAGCCTTCCCTGATTTCTCCCAGCAGACAAATTATGGGCAAACTACTGGGTGAGTGGCTTCCTAGTGGATTAGTCAATTGGGGCTGTTTCAGGAAAATGGGATCGGGTGAAGTACATGCTGATATAATGTCTAAAGGAAAACGCAGGGCTCATCCACACTTAAACTTTGCTCCACATTTCTAGGCAAAGGTCTGGTCTTTCCAGGTTCTTGTTCAAGTGCATTGGGGGGGGTTACCTTGCTGCCCCCCCAACCCACTATTGGCCACTGATTAGGAGCAATTCACAGAAAACCTACTCCATTTCAGTGGTATTGATCAGGTTTCCTCAAGGAAAGCAGCAGGGCAAAAAACAACAACCAAACAAACACTTGGATACGGATCGGGAAAGTTCATATTTTTGCCTAGAAAGTATGCAGGGCAGAAGGTGGATAAACCTTCAGTCACATACACACATTAACTTTCTCCTTCATGTTGGAGCTTCTGCAACTTCCACCAGAGATGGGAAACGGGACCGTTCCAATCTTGCCCCAATAAATTTATCATGGTGAATGCGTCTTGCTCACAGTCTGGTTGGCCTCCATAGTCCAGTGGCTATTTGGGGGAGAGGGGTGCAGCCAGAAGCTTAGGTGTCCATTGTGATGGGCAGATATCAAAGCAGCCAGCCTCACGGGTGAATATTTCACATTCAGATCTTCAGGGGTTAAAAGCAAAGCACAGTTCCTGTTCGGAGGGCAGAAAGGGAGCCTCTGAGTAGGAGTTGTGCCCAGCGCCCTTGAGAGCTGGAAAAAAGAGAGGGCACAATTTGCACTTTAAATTATCCTCTCTTTTTTTAACTTAAAAGTCTCCTCTGCAGGACTGAACAGCCTGTCCTAACCCTAGACCCCTTTCTGGGATTTTAGCAGCTGGTTTTGTCAGCAGGCCAATATAAGGAAGGGCACAGAGGTCAGAGTCTGAGCTCCTGTCCCTGATTTATCAGCCGCCACCAGCAGGCTTGTGGCAAAAGCAAGGTCGGAAGCCGATCCTGCAGCAAGCGCGCGTGGGCCGCACAGAGACAGGCAGGGTCTGGAGGGCTCCTTTTATCTGCTAGAAGAACGTGGGCGAGTTACAGGTCGAAAGTTGCTTCTCTGCCAGCCAGAACTGGCGCCTGGGCCGCCTCCCATTGCGTCCTGTTCTCAGATCTTACGTTCCCAGGAATGAAGAAAGGTGACCTGATTTCTGCTATCCCCAAACCGCAGGATGACGGTTTGACTTTGCTCAGAAGTCCAGCTGAATGCAAACTCCGCTTTAGTCGCTCTGCCTTGAGAAGGCACGGATGGGTGTGTGTATGAGGATCAGGGTGCCATTTGAAGGCATCCAGAAACAGGGCACTCTGGATAAACGAAAGGGAGCACAGAAAGGCAAAAGTTGAGGTGCTGCTGCTGTACGTCTTGGGCTCAGAGGCATGTTCCGCAGAGCTGTTTTGTTGGGAGGGCCTTTCGCTGACACAGCATTTTGGGGGAGCATCCTTTGTTTATTCACAGCACACCACTTTCAGACTTCGGATGTAAACAAGAAAGCCTTCCTTTTCTTCTCTTTTTCGCACCATCTTAGACTCCCCACGGTATGGTGCCAGCAGCCAAAACAACAACAGTCCAACTCCGTGGAATTGGATTCTTCCAAACACCTTTTCCACCGTTAGGGAAAATACATTCCCCCCCTCCTTTTCCTCCCCCTGGAGCCATGCCTGCTTCACTAACTGTGAAGACTCGGGATTTAACTATTTATTTGTGCATTGTAGTTCACCCTGCTCTTCGTTTCATCTTCACAACAACCCAGAGAGGTAGGTTAGGCTGGGAGGCAGAGACTGGCCCAAAGGTCACCCACCGAGCTCTGCCTGAGCGCGGATTTGAACTGTGCTCTCCCAGTGTCCTAGTATGACATGCCAACCGCTAAAGCAAACTGGCTCTCTTGGTCCCATTCCCCCCTGGGCTCCTTTGGGAAGAAGGGCAGGATATAAACTGAAGAGATAAGTAAGTAAACAGGGTTCAAGGAAACCAACAGGCTTTCTCCTACATTCAAATTGTTTGCACGTAAAAAGCAAAGGTAGATCTGTTGGTCCATGGAGAAGGGGAAACTCCTCAAATCCACTGCTAGGCAATGCCTTTATTAAGGTCAGCTGAAAACATTGCAAAATTGTGGCAAGCTTTCGAGTTCTCAGGACTCGAAATCAGGTGGAATGCTACGCATAGCAGGGGGTGACGGGGAACAAGAAAAAAACTGGGAGGAAACCCAACATAAAGGGGTTAGATACGATCCCCCGTAGCAGCAGAAATAGCCAGTCTTTGCCTGGAGGAATTGGATCAAAGCAATCCATTTTTTTGGCAATCAATGGATTGGAACAAGACTCTGGTATATAGTGAATGCCCCCACCCCCATTTTCTGTAGTACAGTAGACCTAGATGGCTACCATTCTGGAAAGCAAGTGAAAGTAATTTCACACACACCAATTTGCTTCCAATTTGTTCTCTGAAAGCTGGGGTAAAAAAAAACCCCCACTTTCGCCGCCTCCAAGCCATGCAACTAAGAGAAAAGGTTCTTTAAACACGCACCCAGAAATGGAAGGAAGTCAACAATAAGGAAGGAACTCTCATGGAACTGGATCATCCGGTTGGCCACTGTGAGGAAAGGATGCTGGAATAGATGGACCACTGGCCTGATCTAGCAGGCTCTGCTTATGTTCTTATGTCCTCCCTGGGTAGACCCCACCCTGGCATTGTGGACTCCTCTCCTGACGCCCACCTATAGAGGAGGGGGCCTCCATGCATATAGTTCAGGCATGTCCAACAGGTAGATCGTGATCTACCAGTAGATCACTGGACGCCTGTGGTAGATTGGCTCTCTCCCCAAAGATGCTGAACAACTGTGACTCCCCTAAAAAGAGCTCAACATTTTACCTCCTCAACAACTTTGACCCGAACCCCCCCCCCAAAATGGGCCTTCCTCCTTCCTAAACAGAGCTCAACAACTTTGACCTGAACCCCCAAAAAGGGGGTAGATCACTGCCAGTTTTTAACTCTGTGAGTAGATCGCAGTCTCTTGGGAGTTGGCCACCCCTGATATAGTTCACCATGCAGAGACTTCTCTGGAATTTGCAGCCCTGAACTATCAGGTTTGCAGAGTCCGGGGGAGTTTTCACATGTGCAACTGTGTGTGTGGAGACCCCCAAGCTATAGACTCCTGAATCGGGCTCTAGCCTCTGATTGTTGGCTGGTGGATCACGCAAATGAATTTCTTACCTCAGCGCAAACAATTCCTAATGGGATTCTCCCTCCTTTTCCTCCCTCTGGCAGGTGTTGACGGAGAAAGGCTTTGGCACGATCACCACTGAGATCCGCGAGGCTCCAGAGTTCTATTACGCGGAAGAATATCACCAGCAGTACCTGAGCAAGCACCCGAATGGCTACTGCGGACTTGGAGGCACTGGGGTTTCCTGCCCCATCGGCGTCTAAAAGCGATCTTTCCTCCTGCGACCACCTCAGCACCTTAAAGCAAGATGTCGGTCGCAAAGGGACATGCTCTGAATCTTTTCTGCCGTTTGGCTGCAGTCTTTGGGGTGCTCTCCCCATGAGTAAATGCCGTGAAATCAAAGGCACCTGCTTGCAAGGAAAGGCTGAGAGCTGAGCTATACATTTAGCAGAGCCACACGCCTGGAGTCCTTGTTGGACTCCACCACTTCAGGATGCAGACGGGGAAAATCATTTTTGTTTCATGCTCCTCCATGTAAGTAAAAATCAGCTCATCGGATGCCTCAACTGGTGTACTGCCATAGCCTGGAATATTACTTTTCTACGCATGAAACGTTTGGGTTTTTAAAAAAAAAAAACACGAAAGGGGAGCGTTCAAAAACGCACTCCCCCAATCTACATTCTGAAGTGGTGCAGTCCAGGAAGGCCTGTAATGTGTAATTTTGCGGGATCTACATGGCTCAGAATCCCAACACAAGCACCTAGGTGGGCGTAGTCTCTGCAATGGAAGAACCCAGGGATGGACTGAGTGTTTCACATTGTGTGCCAACATTAGCCCTGGAATCTGAAGGGGGTGTGGAAGGCAAGGCTGTGTGTTCCCATGCAGGAGAGAGAAGAGATAGAAAAACAAGATGATGGGGGGGGGGTGAAAACCTTTTGAGAAGCAGGCAACAGAGAAAGAGCAAAACATCTGCACACCCCTCTAGCTTCTTTGCTCATACTTGCAAAGCCCCCGTTCGGTTGTTCAAGCCCCGTTCATGGGGTTAGAATATTTTGCAGGGTTGGCGGGGATATTCTGGTTGCCCCCAGCTTCTGTTGTTTCCCTGTCACCCAACCTCCACCATCCTCCATGCACCAGGGCTGGGCTGAAGGTTTGAAGCGAGCAAGCTCTGCAGACTCCCCCCCCCCCCCCAGGATTTAGAAGCCAGTTTTGTAGAGTTCTGTATCGCCAGCATGACACCCCAGCGTGAGGAAAGCAGTCTTCACATCTCCCAACGCCGATTCATGCAGCGCTTTAGGGGCGAGAATGTGACGAGAGGGTGGGGATGACAAGAATGGCCCTTCTTCTCCCACAATGGAATCCTAATGGTGTGAATTCGTTTTGAAACTGGTGCCAGAGCTCAGTTATATCAGTCTGCATTCAGCTAATGCCTTAATTCTGTGGGTTCAGGCAGCCACAGATCTTTTATGTGTGCTCTTGCAGAAGTTAATTCTGTCGGAAGGCATTTCGGGAGGGGAGCTACGTGGGCACAACTGAGATGCTTTTGCAGCTGTGGCATATAAAGCTTCTGCTATCCTCTCAGGGCGGGGAATTTGCTGGAAATAAGTGTGAAAATTGAGAGCTTGGACCTTGGGGAAGTCTCTTGACTGAAGGAGGAGCCGCAAGGTTTGATTTCTGTAGCATCAGATGTGCAGTTTATAAGATCCTCGGCCCATGGGTACCCTTCTGTTACTGCCCCAGATGTCTATGGTGTGCAATTCCCACCACACCCCCACCGAAAGGACTCCTGTGATTCTCTCCCCAGTCCTTCACTCAGTTGTAAAGAATGCAGTTGTTTCTTAATTTGCGAGAGCTGCTGCGACGTGGGGAAAGCTGAAAAAACCTGGCTTCCCTTGACCCAGGTGGTGGTCTGGATCGGTAAGGAGACTGTATCAAATGTAATGCAATAAAGAGCTACAGGTTGCTAAGGAAAAAAGATGTCTTGTGCTGTTATCTCAAGTCCACGTACCCCAAGCCTTGGAGCTGCTTTTTGGCTCTATACAGCGAGGCTGCCGACCTGAGCTTGGAGACTCAGTTTCATTTACCACTCCCCTCTGTAAAGCTACAGATCAGGTCCCTCCATAACTGAGGTTTCTGCAGAGTTGCCCGCCGCTGGAACGCCAACCATCTAATCAACCCTTGCACCACCGTTCAGCCCCCTTCCATCTGCTCTGCCGTGGCAAACAAATGTGGGTTGGATCGTTTCAATGGCCACGTGCTCAAAGCCACAGTCCCACGACTGCTTCAGGGCATTCTCCTTCCGCCCTGCAGTTGGGTGGTGGGAATGGGCCACGTGGCGTAGGCGCCAGCTCCCCGGGGCACCCACGAAATTCCCGATGGAGGGGCCGGGCACCCACAAATTTCGGTGCCAAGGCCATGCACGCTGCATGGCACCTGCGGTCGTGGGGCCAAACTGGCTCGGTGGTGAGCAACATTCCCCACCACCACCCATCCTTTTCAATGTTTGCCCTTGGTTAGGGTCTAACATGTGATTCTACCCTCCTTCCCTAGCTGCCCCCCTCATCCTTAGAAGGCATGGTTCCTATAGTAACAGAGCGCATTGTGTGGAAGCGTTATACCTCCGAATTGTTCTGTTGTTCACCGTCAAGGAACCTGGCCCGATCTAATTACCCAGGCGCAGGGGTGAAAAGGGGAATAGTGTATAATAGCGCTGCAGCTGATTCTGCCTTTACCTCTTTGGTTAGCATTGGCCGGGCGGCGGGAGAGTGTTATTTTTTCTCCCGCTGCTGGGTGAGGGCCTTTGGCACAGGAAGGCCCATTTCCAAGGAGCAGTAAGAAATTGCAACCTTGAAGCCGCCGTGCCTTTTGCACAAAGAGATTGGATTTATTAGCAAATCGGATACCACGGGCCTTGAGCTCAGCAAGTGTCTGGAGCGGTTTTTCTCATTCTGGAAAACAAATGCTGTTTGGGGCTATATGTATCGCTATGCTGGGCTGCCGCCATTTGGAAAGAGGTTTCGCTCGGTCTCTTATGTTCGTAAGTGCTGCGCGTGGATGCAAGACACACCTGCCCATAATCTCCATGGTTTTTTTAGGCATTTCTGCAACCCACCGCATAAAAGGTTCCTGGTTATTTGTAACCTGGATCACCACCCTGCGACCTGACATAGCTAGAGGAACTGCCATATTGGGCCCCATCTGCCCTATACATTGAAAGCAGATTTTCAACCCAAAATGCGTACAAAAAAACTCACAGAGCAGATGCATTAGTCACTAGATTCCTGGTGGGTTTTTTTACATTAACATACATTATTTTTCGCTCTATAAGATGCACCAGACCACAAGACGCACCTAGTTTTTGGAGGAGGAAAACAAGGAAAAAAATATTCTGAATCTCAGAAGCCAGAACAGCAAGAGGGATCGCTGCGCAGTGAAAGCAGCAATCCCTCTTGCTGTTCTGGCTTCTGGGATAGCTGTGCAGCCTGCATTCGCTCCATAAGACGCACACACATTTCCCCTTACTTTTTAGGAGGGAAAAAGTGAGTCTTATTGAGCAAAAAACACAGTAATTTAATTTCTAAATAGCAGCGGTGGGGATTATGCTACCTGGTGTAAAGTTTTTGGGTAGTACATGCCCGGAGACTGGTGGTTATTTGTGTGTGGTGTACGTGTGTGTGTGTACACACACACACACACACACACACACACACACACACACACAAAAGCTCATTTGAAAAGCCACTTCCCTTTTCTTCCTTGGGATTGCCAAATCTTGACATTGGCTCCCTTGTGACGCTTCCTCCTTTCAGTATTCAGATGTCCCCCTGGGGAATTTAACAGAGGCTAGACATCCGCAGGTTGCCGGCCTTCCAACTCACTGCCAGACCCAGCATTCCATTATGACATCACCGCAAGGGAACAGGCTGGTGGGTGACATCACATGGGGACTGGCAACGTGGGAGGAACTGTGAGTGATGTCACTTCTAGGCAAACAGATTGCTTATGTCCCGTACAATGAGGAATGATGGGATTGCTGCTTGTAGCTTCTGGTCTGAACATGAAGACAGAGGACCTCTTTAGAACGAGGCTGAAATGCTACAGCGCCTTCTCCTGTTGCTAGCATCCTTCACGACAATCTCCCATACAGGTAGGCGGATTCTGGTTTGTTTATTCCTGGTAGCTAGGTGGCAAAAACCCCTCAGTCTTGGTGCTGTCCACGGGAACCAGGGGGGGAAAGAAGACAGGTTTGAAACACAAGTCATCGTACTGCAAGGCCCATGGCCAAGACACACGCTTCCAGCCAAGCCTGGGCTCACTTACCCTAGTCTGCCATACGGGCACAAATCTTGCAGGGAATAAAATAATTCTGCTATCTCTTGACAGAGCTACAGGCCTTGCCCCCTGTGCATTGTGGCCTGTGGCCTGAATTCAAAGCCATCTCAGGATCAGGAGCAACGACTGCCTCCGAGATACTTCCCTGGCAGGCCAGCATCCAATCAAATGAGCTGCATTTCTGTGGAGGTGTGATTCTGAGCAGTTGGTGGGTCCTGTCTGCAGCTCACTGCTACACGGAGGAACTGTGAGTACTGAGGATTGCCTTTAAGTAGATAGCAAGTTGTCTTTAAAAAAAATAAAATTCCCTGAGTTATTTCAATGGATGAATTAAGAGTATGATCCATAAAGAACCTTTGTCCCTGAGGAAGCTCACTCTCCAAACACTCTTTGGAGCAATCTTCAAATAATAATACTATATAATAATCGTGAATGCCTCCTTTGAGTATGGATCCTAAGCACCATCTATACACAACAGGGAGGGATCAGCAGGCTCACGTTCAAATACACACACATATATATAATGAAAATGTAAGAATGTCGTCATGCTGCAGTTCACCTGGCTGCAGACAGGTGGTGCTATGAACTACACTGTGATGGCAAGCTTGGGTCTCAGAGCTGTTAGGCCATTACAACAGGCAAGGAGGAGGGAACTGGAGATGAGAACCAGGGAAGGAGGCAGGAAGGCGGGCAGCTGGTGGCCCAGGTGAGTAAGTGAGCAGGCAGGCAGCCCACCCAGGTGAGCAAGCATCCCAGGCAAGCCGTAGAAGCTTGACATGGCCTGTGGGGAAGGGGTGGTTTTGACAAGGTGCAAAGAGACACTCGGAGGGCGAAGAGGAAGGAAGGAGACGAGAGAACGGAAGACAGACAAGTCAGCCAGGCAGCACATGGACCAGGTGAGCGGGTGGGCATCCCAGACAGGCGAGTGGGTGGCCCAGGGGTGCTTTGGCAAGGAGTAAGAGGAGCAGCCGTGTGTGTGTGTGTGTGTGTACTGTCATACCTTGGAAGTTGAACGGAATCGGTTCCAGAAGTCCGTTCGACTTCCAAAACGTTCGGAAACCAAAGCGCGGCATCCGATTGGCTGCTCACCAAAACGTTCAGAAACCGGAACACTCACTTCCGGGTTTCAATCATTTGGGAGCCGATTTGTTCGGGAGCCAAGGCGTTCCATATCCAAGGTATGAATGTGCTAGAAAAAAGAATACCTAAGGAGAGGGAGGTCAAATGGCTTAATGCTTAATGACTACTAAGCATGCCCATTGGACAGTGCTGCTCAACTGTTGGGTGGGTGGAATGGAAAACTGGGCAAAGAGGGAATAGAATGGAGTGTACTGAAAAAGGGCAGAGCTGGCTTTCAGGAAACCTGTACAAGAATGTTTCCCACTGCAATGTTTTGCTGCATCTTCAATTTTCTGAGTACCAGCCTGAGGCTTTGCCTCTCTTTTGTTTTGCTTCGTCTTGGGAATGGTGGGGGGTTGGGGGGAGAGCGCATGGATCCCAGCACACAAATGTTGCCCCACAAGCCCTCCCCGCCCTTTCTAAGCTGTTTTATGCTAATTCAAGTCATTGGTTCGTTGGGACACAGCCCTGGGGTTCATTGTTTGATCTTTGTTGATGCCCTGCCTCTGTTTCCTTTGTCCCCAAGTCCTTCAGATCTCCATGTAGTGGTTCCTTTGAATGGACATGAATTGGAGAGAATGAAGTTGGACAGGGTGCTCATCCACGAGGACTTTGACTGTACAAACCTGAACAACGACGTTGCTTTGCTCCTGCTCGCCTCCCCAGTAGAGTTCGGTGAAGAGAGGACTCCCATTTGCCTGCCCTTGCTACAGGACCTTGGAGCGTGGCAAGACTGCTGGGCTGCAACTTGGAGATCCACCACGCCGGGTATTGCATTTTCTAGTCCAGGGCTCAGTCAAAAATACTCCCCTGAGTTTGCCGCACACACATGCACTCGCTGCTGTAAGTCGGAGCAGATGGGGCGTGTGAATGCGCAGGTATCCATTGGCTCAGTCTGCACTTCAAGGTGAAACGATCAAACCCCCAGTTTCCGAAACCACATGCGAACCCAAACACAGCTGTCCCCTTTGAAATTCGCATTTGAATTTTGCAATGCAGTTTTCCAGCCAAGTAACGTGCAGAAAATTCATATGCTCATGTAAAGTGTACATGAAAACTCAAGTACTGGTGTAAAATAATACAGAAAAATGCATTATGTTAGGGAGAGTTGCTTTGTAAAAATGTGTGCGTGTGACAAAATTGCATAGAAACGGGAGAAATTTGTACTAAGGTGCTGATTAATTCTCATGAGAGCTTTAAAGGGCTTTCCCCCCAAACTGATAGGAAGATACAGATAACCAAACTTAAGATTTAGGGAGATTTTAGGAATGAGAAACGGAGAGAAACCAAAACTGTTGGATTCTGAGCGTGATTGCGGCAGCTAGACTGCTGACTGGGAGTGGCTGCCGAGACCACATAACACCAGTCTTGAAAAACCTACATTGGCTCCCAGTATGTTTCCAAGCACAATTCAAAGTGTTGGTGCTGACCTTGAAAGCCCTCTGTCCAGTATATCTGAAGGAGCGTCTCCACCCCCATCGTTCTGCCTAGACACTGAGGTCCAGCTCCGAGGGCCTTCTGGCGGTTCCCTCCCTGCGAGAAGCCAAGTTACAGGGAACCAGGCAGAGGGCCTTCTCGGTGGTGGCACCCGCCCTGTGGAACGCCCTCCCATCAGATGTCAAAGAGAACAACAACTACCACACTTTTAGAAGACACCTGAAGGCAGCCCTTTTTAGGGAAGCTGTTAATGTTTGGTGCATTACTGTATTTTAATATTTTGTTGGAAGCCGCCCAGAGCGGCTGGGGAAGCCCAGCCAGATGGGTGGGGTATAAATAATAAATTATTATTATTATTATTATTAATATTGAACTGGGAACTCGATGGCTTGTGACAGAGACCTCCCCACGAGATCTCACTGGGAGGAACCAGCACAAAATGATCTAGAGCAAGTGGAAACACCAGCCTTTGTAGCTGGCAGGCTATAGATTTGGCCTCTGAATTGCCCAGACTTTTTGCCCTTGCCCTTGCCCTGGCCAGCAGTGCAACCCCTTTGCCTTGACGCCATGCCACCAGCATCCGAGGCCCCTCTTGGGCTTCGAGAAACACAGGCTCTCCTTTTCCCAATTCCAGAGCAGCACAAGTCTCCGCGCTGCACAGAGCGGTGAGGCCTAAACGAAGCCCCCGCCGTCCCATTCACCCCTCTCTTCTCCTCCCGTCATTTCTGAATGGCGCCGCCTCCCCCTCTTTCCTCTGTGCCTGCAGGCGACGAGAACACACCGACCAGAGTGCTAAAGAAAACGGAAATGTCTCTGGTCGGCGGGGAGACCTGTTCCAAGAGCGTACAGGGGCTGACGGAGGGCATGCTGTGCGCCGTCTCTGACGAAGGAGGGAAGGAGACCTGCAAGGTATAATGAACCTGGCCCTGTACTGCTGTGCCGCAGGCTGGGGAGGCAGGATGGATGCGGTAATGATCTTCGATCTCTTCCCCGGGCTTCCTGGGGGCTGCTAATGTTTCTCTGCACAGCCTCCGGAGAGATGGGGAAGACTTATTTTAGCAAGCTTACAAGTAGGGGAAGTCCTGGTCACCTACAAGGATATACAAGCCGTGTCCTCCAGTCTTGTTCTGAGTCCCAAAAAGGGGAAGAGAGATGTCTTCATGTTCCTTTATCCCTCTTTTTGATTATGTTTGTTCCTCGCCCTCCCTTTTCTTCTTCCCTCTCTTATTGTTCCCTCTCCTTCCCCCTCCTCATTTTCTTGTCCAGCTTTTCTGCCTCCACTGATACACACTGTGTGTTCGGAGGAGTGAGCTTGTGGCTGGAGCGGAAACTCTTTAGGAAGAGATGCATATTCTTTACTCAAGAGGAGGTTTTGCAGAGGGTTGAAACCAGGGCTCCCCCCCCCAGCCGGAACTCGCTGGAACTTAGTTCCAGCACCTCTTAGGTGGGCACCATCGCCATTACAGTGGTACCTCGGGTTACATATGCTTCAGGTTACATATGCTTCAGGTTACAGACTCCGCTAACCCAGAAATAGTACCTCCGCTAACCCAGAAATAGAAATCGCGTGGCGGCAGCAGGAGGCCCCATTAGCCAAAGTGGTGCTTCAGGTTAAGAACAGACCTCCAGAATGAATTAAGTACTTAACCCGAGGTACCACTGTGTAAGAGAACGAGGGAGGTGTTTTTTGTGAGTTCCAGCATCGCTTTTTCTAGAAAAATAGCAGTGGTTGAAACTGCATGGAAAATGCAGAAGGGAAAGGGAACAAGGGAGGGTGAGGAATTAATGTAGGGTATTTATAAACCACATGATTGCTATTTATTATCTATGGTGCGCCTTCGACGTGTCGGGGGCTTCAAGGCTGTGAGAGCAGAGGACTCCTGCCTTGAGGGGCACCCAAACTTCAACTGACACGGTGGAGATAACAAAGAAAAGGCATGAAATGGAGATTGGGATGACAGGCAGAATCCGTGACCAAGGAAAAGAGACGGTGGAAGAAAAATGGAGAAAATTTAAAAGTTATCTTAAGGACTATTATAAACTTGATGAATGTTAGAGTGTTATGGTTTTCAGGAACAAAGGGATACAGTGATATAAGATCAGATTACAGAGATAACTAAGGACAGAGGTTGGAAAGTAACAATTGGGAGTTGCTACAAAACTATGGACATTGGGATGCAGAAAGGGGGGGGTACGGGGGAGTCTCAGAAAAGAGGTTTATGAAAAACATTATGAAATTATACGTGTTTGTATGTCTTTTTAAGTGTTTGTTTGTTCTTAAAATTTTGTAAAACTAATAAAAAAAATTTTTTTAAAAAAATGAAATGGAGATTGGGGTAAACAGAGAAGAATATGCCTTTGTTTTCGTTGAAACACAGGCTCAGAAAATGTCTCCATTGAAGTTTTTAGTAACACTTTAAAAAAAAAAAAAACTAAAGTGGCTGAGTTTTCCAATAAAACTGAAAATCCACAATTCACGTTAGGGGCATTCCATGATTAGACCAACCCAATTGTCACTAAACCTCGGAGAAGCTTTTGATATGTAAAGTCATTTGATGTTTAGTCATTGAACACCTAGACTGATGATGCAGGGTTCTAGAAAACTCCCAACGCTTGCACACTATTTTCTGGTATATCTGGTGTGAATTTTGGGGCCTATGGAGAGGAAAGTTTGCCTATGGACCTTGAGAGAGCGACTGCGCCGTCTCAGATTTGGGATACCTAACAGGGGTGTAACAACCCCTCACCGTGAATAATAGTGCAAAGCTGGCAGCTTCCTTTCTGCTTCTCCAGAAAGCAGGGCCCGAAAACAGTGCTTTCGAATTACAGGAATGAAAATTCCAACTAAACCTTAGGAATAACTTTCTGGCAGTAGGATCTGTTCAGCAGTGCAATAGGCGACCTTGAAGGTTTGTAAGCAAGAGTTTGGGTAGCCATCTGCCAGGGATTCATTCGCTGTGATTCCTACGTTGCGGGGGTTGGACTAGATGATCCGTGGGGTCCCCTCTGACGCCATGATTCTATGAGGATGTTGACCTCTTTCTCTTGTGTCCTCCTTCTGACCTCTCCCAGGATGACAGCGGGGCTCCTTTGGTTTGCACTTCCGGAGAAGACAGGAGATGGTTTGTGGTTGGACTAGGCAGTCATGGGGAGGCCTGCGAAGGAAAGGGCAGTCCCGCTGTCTACACTGTGGTTTTCAGCTACCTCAACTGGATAGAAGAGGTTACGGCCGAGGAAGGGAAACCATTTATCCCCGAAGGAGTGGACGTCGTTGTAGCCGATTCCGAAATCCCTCCTCCCGGTTTGGCTGAGTTCGAAGAGGTAACAGCTGAGGAAGAAAAACCATTAATCCCTGAAGGGGTGGACGTTGTCATAACTCATCCTGAATTCCCCGTTCCCGGTTTGGCTGACTCTCCCTTCCTTTCCGCCCCCTGTGCTGTTGCTTCTGTTCTGATGTCGATGCTTTTCCGTTTATTGTAATAAAATCCGCTTTGCAAACGCTCTCTCTCTGTTGCAAGAGTTCTCGCTCGCTTTCTTCACGCGTAAAATAAATAAAGCTCCGAAAAACGAAACCTGAGGGCCGTCAAATGAACATGCTTCCTGCACGTTCCCCCAGGGCTGACTTCTTGGGGATTTTTGCAAGTAGTGGCACGTTTTGCAATACGGAGGGACATCTTGTGGTTACACTGCGCACTGCAGCCAGAGAGAGGCTGCGCTGCAACAGAAGATGCTGTGTACATACATCAACTGCTGCTGTAGGTCACAGACCACCTCTGGCCCACCCCTGGCAATCCAGAATTTGCCTCTGGCCCTCCTCTCTCAGACCTGCACCACCAATTATGCTACTCCGGGTCAGGATGCTACAGGAGTGTGTGTTTCCCCTTTTGACAGACGGGCAGCGTCACTCACCTGTCAATCACCTGATCTCAGTCTCCATGACATCATGATGGGAGGGGTCGTCCACAACATCTGAAAGGAAGCCAGTTGCAGAAGGATCGTTTGCATCACCGATAGTGCTGTTATTAATGGCTTTTGCCTCACTATGCTTGCAAATCTACAATAAGAGCAATTGTTTGCAAAGAGGCTGCTGAGAAGTTCTCAGAGGGAGATGGGAATTATTCCTTCGCACCTTTATCTTTCCATTCCCTGCCTTGTGGAAAGTTTCCCCCTCTTCCTGCCACTTTCCTAACCCTCTGTGTCATTTTTTTTTTAAAGCTGTTTACTGGCGGTGGGGGAGAGAAACTTTATCTCTGTGCAGCTCCTGGCATGTATTAGGCATTCGAATCAATAGTACCGACCATTTATTTCTTAGATAAAACAGAAATGCTTACCTAAAAAAATACACCAAGGCGGCATTCAGCATGCAAAATTACAATGAGGTAGATAAAAACATCACTAAAGATTAACGTTTTTGTTTAACCCATTCTGCATTCAACATATTGGCAGTTACTGTGATATTTTCTTTTCCAAATATGTAGAAGTATTTGTTAAACCTCAACAAGTGTAATCTTTCTCCTGACAGTAAGAGCTGTTTGACAGTGGAATTTGCTGCCAAGGAGTGTGGTGGAGTCTCCTTCTTTGGAGGTCTTTAAGCAGAGGCTTGACAACCATATGTCAGGAGTGCTCTGATGGTGTTTCCTGCTTGGCAGGGGGTTGGACTGTGTGGAAGTGCATGCCTTTGCAAAGTGTTATTTTTAAAAAACAACTAGTATTTATTATTTTTTGTACTGATTTTTTAAATGTAATTGTTGTAGTTTTAAAATGACAAGGGAAGGCATAAAATTACAGAAGGGGGAAAAAGAAAGGGGTGAGAGAAGATACCAAAAGAAAAGCAGTATCAGAGCTGACATGGAGAATCATAGAATCATAGAGTTGGAAGAGACCACAAGGGCCATCGAGTCCAACCCCCTGCCAAGCAGGAAACACCATCAGAGCACTCCTGATATATGGTTGTCAAGCCTCTGCTTAAAGACCTCCAAAGAAGGAGACTCCACCACACTCCTTGGCAGCCAATTCCACTGTCAAACAGCTCTTACTGTCAGGAAGTTCTTCCTAATGTTTAGGTGGAATCTTCTTTCTTGTAGTTTGGATCCATTGCTCCGTGTCCGCTTCTCTGGAGCAGCAGAAAACAACCTTTCTCCCTCCTCTATATGACATCCTTTTAGATATTTGAACATGGCTATCATATCACCCCTTAACCTCCTCTTCTCCAGGCTAAACATGCCCAGCTCCCTTAGCCGTTCCTCATAAGGCATCATTTCCAGGCCTTTGACCATTTTGGTTGCCCTCCTCTGGACACGTTCCAGTTTGTCAGTGTCCTTCTTGAACTGTGGTGCCCAGAACTGGACACAGTACTCCAGGTGAGGTCTGACCAGAGCAGAATACAGTGGCACTATTACTTCCCTTGATCTAGATGCTATACTCCTATTGATGCAGCCCAAAATTGCATTGGCTTTTTTAGCTGCCATGTCACACTGTTGGCTCATGTCAAGTTTGTGGTCAACCAAGACTCCTAGATCCTTTTCACATGTACTGCTCTCATTCCTTTTGGCAAGCAGCACATCAGTGGGGAGCATGGGAGAGGGAGGGCAGGGGGATTAGAGGGGGAGCCAAGCAATTAGCCAAGGCAAATAATTCCTTGGAAGAGGCTGAAGGAGGCCCAACTCAGCTCCAGAGGCAGAGTCTCCAGCTGCAGACCGCACCGTCCGTTCAAAGAATGGAGTAGTTCCTTAGCAAAGCCCCTAGATGGCAGCATTGCCTTCCCCACCCACTAGGGTCCTTCTTCCTCCTCTGGAATATCTTATGTTCTGCCTAGCAATGAGCAAACACTCCTCTGCTCGCTTGAAAACTGATGCCGTCTTTTAGGAGCTTTCTGGGCAAACTCTTTTTGGGGAAGGAACAGTTGCGGGGAGGCGAGACTTGGTTTCTGAGAGTCTTTCCCTAGCTGGTCATGCCAGCCCATGCAAGCTCATAAGTGCCTTTCTGCGCTGCCCCGTGGGAGTTTGCCGCTCTTCCTAGCACCTGGCATGGCAGTGGGCGATGCCAGGGGACGAGGTTCCTTTCTTTGCAAAGCAAGAGAAGACTTTATGCATTTGTTCATATTATATTGAGTTATAAAAGTATTTCTAGACTGCCCACTTGCAAAACCAGGGTGCTGTACCTTTTATACAGTCATACCTCATGTTACGTTTGCTTCATGATACGTTTTTTCAGGTTGCGTCCCGTGGCAACCCGGAACTACCGGAAAGGGTTACTTCCAGGTTTCGCCGCTTGCGCATGCACAGAAGTGCTAAATTGCGCATCGCGCATGCGCACAAGCACCAAATCGTGCCGCGAACTGGGCTCCGGAACGGATCTCGTTCGCAACCAGAGGTACCACTGTATAAAGGCAAAGGTAAGGTAAGGTAAAGGACCCCTGGGCGGTTAAGTCCAGTCAAAGGCAACTATGGGGGTTGCAGCACTCATCTCACTTCAGGCCGAGGGAGCTGGCGTTTGTCCACACACAGCTTTCCGGGTCATGTGGCCAGTATGACTGAACTGCTACTGGTGCAACGGAACACCATGACAGAAGCCAGAGCACTCAGGAACGCTGTTTACCTTCCTGCCACAATGGTACCTATTTATCGTATTTTTCGCTCCATAAGACACACCAGACCATAAGGCACACCTAGTTTGGGGAGGGGAAGAACAAGAAAAAAAATATTCTGAATCCCAGAAGCCAGAACAGCAAGAGGGATCTGGCTTCTGGTATAGCCTCTGGCTGTTCTGGCTTCTGGGATAGCTGCACCAAGCTTCTTCAGGGCAGCAGGATGAAGGCTCCCCCTGCCCGGAAGAGGCTGCGCCTTATAAATAAGGCAGAAGCCAGGAGAGGCGCTTGGCTGAAGGGGGCACTGTGCAGCTCTCCCTCTCTATGCAGTGCCTCTCCTTCGCAGGAGAGGCGCTGCGCAGAGAGCGAGAGCTTTGCAGTGCCCCTTCAGCCAAGCGGGAGGAGGAACAAAAGGAGCCCCTTTTGTTTCTCCTCCAGCTTCGCAGGAGAGGCACATCACTGAAGGGGCGCTGCACAGTTCTCCCTCTCTGCGCAGCGCCATTCGCTCCATAAGACGCACACACATTTCCCTTTACTTTTTAGGAGGAAAAAAGTGTGTCTTATGGAGCGAAAAATACGGTATCTACTTGCACTGGCATGCTTTTGAACTGCTAGGTTGGCAGAAGCTGGGACAGAGAAATGGGAGCTCACCCCGTCACGGGGTTTCGAACAACCAACCTTCCGATTGGTAAGCCAAAGAGGCTCATTGGTTTAGATCACAGCACCACCCTTAGCAGACAATATAGAACAATCATAAAAATGACTTAAGCGCTCAAGAACTGTGTGCTCAAGAACTGCATAAGTTTGTTGGCATTGAAAAGTGTTCAAGGGACTCGTGAAAGTCAAAAGTGAGGGTGCCTGCTGAACCTCTGCTGGAAGACTGCCCCATGGCCACAAATCAGCTGGATGAGGCAGGAACCACATAGAGTCCAAAGTATTTCCCAAAGCAGATAAATTATTTCTAATATTTTTGTAGGCAGTTTAGGCCAATACACATATTTTTGTGATGCAATTTCCCCTAATACAACACCTTTTTGTTTCACTCATTTAGGCATTTTAATGCACACTTTCTCCTTATTTACAAATTTTCACTTGCGTCCTTGGGCTGGAGAACGGCATCACAAAATTCAGGGAAGTGCGAATTTTGAAGGATAGTTGCGTTTCTGTTTGTGCACTCCTTCAGAAACTGAATTGGATCATTTCTCATTAAAGTGCAGACAAAAGTGAATTTATCCACCCCCACCCCACCTTCACATCCCTACTCGGAAACCTACACAAATGGATCTGAGAAGATGGGGGAAGTTCAGTCTTCCTCACCTTTTTTCTTGTTTTCGGCAATAATATGAAGGAGAGGAAATAAAAGGGGAAAAAGTTGTGAATGAACAATAATAACAGAATGCCCCCCCCCCTTCACACCTTGCTCTCCATTCAGACTTTTTGACAATCAACAAGGTCATTTGATTCATTCAGTTCTTGGAGTAAACAAAGACTCACAATAATAAACCCCCCTTCCCAACCCCTGCTGCCGTTCTGCCTCCCCCCACGCCTTTTCTCTAAGAATAGATGCCTTCCAGCCCCCCCCTTTTACCTTCATCTCCCTCTGCCTCTGAGAATCCAACTCGCTGCCACTTCCTCAGACGGATTTCAGGGCTTCCAGAAAAGGCTCAGCATTTCCTCTTCAGTGTGGGAATCGCACCTTCCCTCGGTAACATCTGCATAGACACCCCGGTCATTCTCATATTTGTTCGTGTTCTCCCTCAAACCTAAGAAGCTGCCTTATATTCAATAACATCATTGGTCCACCTAGCTCTGTAGCTGTGGTCTAAACCACTGAGCCTTGCCGATCGGAAGGTTGGCGGTTCGAATCCCCGCGACGGGGTGAGCTCCTGTTGCTCTGTCTCAACTCCTGCCAACCTAGCAGTTCGAAAGCATGTCAAAGTGCAAGTAGATAAATAGGTGCAGTGGTACCTCGGGTTACAGACACTTCAGGTTACAGACGCTTCAGGTTACAGCTCCGCTAACCCAGAAATAGTACCTCGGGTTAAGAACTTTGCTTCAGGATGAGAACAGAAATCGTGCTCCGGTGGCATGGCATCAGTGGGAGGCCCCATTAGCTAAAGTGGTGCTTCAGGTTAAGAACCATTTCAGGTTAAGAACAGACCTCCAGAACGAATTAAGTTCTTAACTCGAGGTACCACTGTACTGCTGTGGCAGGAAGGTAAATGGCATTTCCATGCACTCTGGCTGCGGTCACCGTGTCCCGTTGCCCCAGAAGCGGTTTAGTCCTGCTGGCCACATGACCTGGAAAGCTGCCTGTGGACAAACACCGGCTCCCTCGGCCTGAAAGCGAGATGAGTGCCACAACCCCATAGTTGCCTATGGC